GAAGAAAAAGAATTTTGTGAAAAAAGAATTTTTTTCTATACCAAAGAATTTCCAAATATTATGTTGAATTCGTAAAAATTGACTAAAAGGCTTTCTTTTTTATAACATACTTATGTTTTCGAAGTTTTTATTAATTTCTTTGCCCTCGTATAAATAATAATAATAATAATAATAATAATAATAATAATAATAATAATAATAATAATAATAATAATAATAATAATAATAATAATAACGACTACAAAAACAATAATAATAATTATTATTATAATACATATTATATTATAACATTATAATTATTATTATAACATATTAATTATTATTATTATTATTATTATTATTATTATTATTATTATTATTATTATTATTATTATTATTATTATTATTATTAAATTATTGATCGATTTACAAATCGGCTTACTGAAGCTCTATTCAAGAAAGAATAAAGAAAGAGAAGTAGAGTAGTAGCTTTAAAATCGTATTATCTCGTAAACGTTACAGTTAAAGTTTTCTATCCTTTTCTGTTTCAGCGACGGGATCGACGGGGGTCATCAATCAAAGAGAATCGCCGAGTAATCTGTGCGAGCGGTAGTATGAGTCTGTAGTAAGCGAAAACACTTCGATCGTGAATCGACTTTCTATAATAGTTTCCATTATACTTCCGAAATAATTCGCTCTGTGTTAGCTAAGTGTCCCGAAAGAAAGGAAAAATTACAACTTGTTCAAGGTCATGGCTGTTGTTTTATCTTCCTCATCTTCATCGTTCGAGCTGATGGATTTCTTTAGTCTAGCAATTCTAACAAATCTTGTTTTTGTCACATTACTCGTATTTATTTCACTGCCGTTCTTCCTTTTTTTTTATCCTGGTAATTTTTAATAATTTCAATGTAATCAGAAGAACGTGAACAATTTTTTAACGAAAGACATTTGAGACCTCAAAAGACCAATGAATTCGTTACTCTAATTTCTCGATTTTTTCTTCTTCAAGCTTTGTCATGGTCAAGAAAGTATTGGATTAATTTCGTCAAGTGGAAATATCCTAATTATATTGTCGTCGAGGAAAATAGTATTCGCAGTATTTTGGATCAGGGTAGAAATCACGTGAGTATTAATTAACACAAAATAATTACCAAAATATCAATGGGGAATTATTACATTTGTCAGATAACAATTTAGGATATCTTTTTCTTTTCTTTCTTTTCTTCTTCCGTAGGGTATATATACTTTGCTGGTTCAAGGTCGATCAATAGCCGAAGGTACGAGAAGTCATCTGTTACATCTGACATCGAAAAAGAAATTCTTGAGATTAACTTTGACAACAAAATGGGGTCTTTATGTTTGGAAAGATAACGAACAATTTTCTGTGGACAATCATCTTTTAAATTCACCATGTTCATTTCGAGGCAGGCCTCTCACCGAATCCAATATACAGGTTTTGATAAAGAAATTGCTTAATGGGGTACTCTAATGAGATCATTTAAGTCATTACATATATGAGTACGTGCATGTGTGTATGTATACGTGCGTGCGCGCGCAGCGCATGTATGTACGCATATATATGTATGTGTAGATGCTAACACGTTTGAAACTGCGTGCAAACGCATGGAAATGTAATCTTGACCTTTTTTATCACAGAAAATACTCAGTTAAGTAAAACTTGTCGTTTATAAATTTCTACGAAAACAGTAAAACCATCGCGATTACAACTAAATCAAAGATAGGTTACATTTTCTACATAATCGAAATTATTAGACAGGATTTTTCATGTGAACATTAAGAGAACGAATAATAATATGTGATTCATAGTTCGTTTAATGAGCATAATGTTCCCGCGCATTCTTTAAATCATTTAAATGTAAGATATAAATAAATTTAATTAATAAATAAGCGTAAGTCGAAGTTCACTCTTCTGCAATGGGAGATTAAATGCAGTGTGAGAATTTATGTGCGTTCCATATTTTCTTGAAAAATAACATGTTTTTTTAGGATTACGTGAGTGATGTAACTTCAAAATTTCTCCCGGCCGGTCGATCTCCATGGCAGATAAATGTGATAAATTGTTTCTTTCGTGGTGAGGAGTATCAAATTTGTTTAGTTCGGGTTCATCATTTGCTACTTCGTTTGGAACATCTATCCCTTGCTGATTTCCTACCTTTGAAATATTCAACCGAAAATTGGGCTTGCGAAGAAAGTGATTCGCCATTCACGAATCTTTATGTTGAACCTTCGGCACTACCTCGTCTTCATCAGAAGCTTACAGAAAACTTCAGTAATTATTGGAACGAGTTTCTTTGCAATAATGATCCTATTGAACGACCTGAAATAATGAAGAAACGAATAGGAGTCTTTCAATGCGTTAAAATCGGTGTGATTGTTTTGGTAGCCACTTCAAAGGAATTGACTAGGTAAAAAATGAATTGATCTATAATGAACTTATATATATTGATTTTAATCTTTCTTAATTTTCAGACAATACAGAAAATCCGAAGGCCTCAGATTCTTTGATTTCTTCATTATACTTCAAAGAGAAGTTAATAAAAGAAACTTTGGAGTCTTCATAATATTCTATGCCGTTCTAAGAACTCTTCATCCAATTGATACCATCTATGCAATTTTAGCCTGGTCATGGTATCTACTTATCATACTAACTTTGAAGACACCTGTATTGATTTTCCGAGAATTTCAAGCCCTGCAATCGAAGTACAAACATTTCTATCCGGATACTTTGATATCGATGATCTGGTGCTATCTCCCATTGATAATCCAAGCAACGATCGAAGTCTTTTCCATTATGTGGATCGCAATAGGAGCTCCGAAGTTGATATTGGAGGAGCTTTTCTTGAAACATCCTCAAGCGAATCGATTGCAAACGATATCACCCTGTGGTAGAAAAGTCGTGGCTTGGTCCGAAGAGGTCAGTTTGGATGTATTGAAAAAGATTTCCAGTGTGACAGGAGCTACAGATGCTGAAATCCTTTTAACAGCTATCGTCGACTCTCTAAAGGAATATTTTAGACATTCTGGCGTTAGAATTCCGGACGACGTTTTAACTACAGCAAAATTCGTCAATCAAAAAGCTATTTTCTTGCATAATCATGAAACTAGAGGTATTGTCTGTTTGGCTTTACCAACGAGAACTCCACTTTTCGAAGACGATCTACTCGAGATTCTTCAGGTAAATGATTTTACAAATGAAATTCTTTCGAATTCTATAAACTTATATAACTCTTCTCCTACATTTTCCCAAGGTGATACAAAGAAATGTACAAGAAACTAGAGCAAAGCAGAGTGCCATTTATGCCATCACTGCAACCGAAACATCACGTGGTCTGATTTCTTCAATTTTTCCTTCGATACTTCTTAAATTGATACTCAATCAATTATCGAGAAGATATTCATTGTCTCTAACTCATGTTGATGGCGATCTACAACTAGAAGGTGTAGATGCTGCAGTTTACTGGAGACCACCCCAAGGAAACTGCAGTAAATTATTTTTATTTATTTCTTTTTTTTTATATATGACTTTCTCAATGATTTTCTTTGAAGATTATCATAAGTATAATCCAACCAATTCCTTCTTCTTCGTAGATATGTCAATAACTCTGCACAGGTACGGTAATGGAGTGCGCTTAGGTGTTATGGGAGATGCCCTGATTGGTCCACAGCATTCGATTATAACCAGGACATTCCCCAAAAGTCTACAAAATCTTTCCGCGATCGTTGGTGTTCCAAAAACTTCAGTGTTAGAACACCAGAGCCGTAGTCCAAGTCCACATTCAGCTAGTCCAACTACATCACCTGGATATTGATAGAATTACTATATGTCCTAACTTTTGGATCTCCAAGACAACGAAACGTTTCTTGTCGTTCATTTTGAAACATTTAGAAGAATATATTTTTCATTCCAGGATTTTTTTTCGTTTAGAATTAAGACAAAGAAAACGAAAAAGATATCTTATCATATGTGCACATATTCACATGCAAATCATATATATATATTTATATATATATAAATCATATACACAATATATATAATACATACACACACGTGTGATTGATTTATAAGTCCAACAAAGACTTGACGTCAAAGTGAAATCCTACTGAAAGGAGCTGACCCAAATCTCGGCTAACTTATCGATTCCTTGCCTTCCACGTTATTTATTCTTCCGTCTTTCGAGTGTGTATCAATCAACATACAGGGAAAGTATCTGTGTGAACAATATTATTTCGTGTTACGTACATACTTAACATGTAACATTTGACTTTTATGGAACATGATATTTATAATGTACAGATTATACGTTGGAAAAATTTCTTGATGTTATTTATAATGATATATAAGAGATGTAAGAAGAAAGTAAATTTACTTATTTCTCTTGAATTAATCTTTATAAACAAGATAAATGAATATTACTCGAGAAATGAAGATCAATTGAACAACACTCAATAATTTTTTATTGGACGGATTTTCTTTTCTTCAGTATTTTTCTCTTTACACAATTTGAGACTTAATAAAGATTATTTGATTTTTTTTAAATATAAATGAAAACATTATAAGTTATAATTTGATTATTCTCGACGCGTTTATTACGCTATTAAGAACAAAAACATACATTTGAATGTTATGTTTGTTTTATCTCTTAAAGATAAGATGTACTCATGAAGAGTGTATATCTTATTGTCAGTCAACGTGCGCATAAATTTTGTCGAAAATTCTTCTACATATATATTGTAGAGAATTTGAACTTCTGATTGTTAGGAGATGAGTTAGGGCAAGACAAAAAGATCTTATTAATCACGAAATCAGCTTTAATCAGTTTAAAATGCAAATTGTTCTTTACATTTGTATTATTTCTAATTAAATTGAATAAAATAATCTTTCTAAAACTAATTATAAAGATCAATTGACCGTTAATGCAATTTCATGAAATACCTTGAAGAGATATTCTCTTCGTCTTTTGAAAAGTCATTATTTTGAAAAAATTTGTGATATACAGTTGTTATAATATGTATGAAGATAAAGAACACGCATATCAGCATACAATTATTTCTTGAATCGTAAATGTATTACGAATTTCGTTGTATATATGTTTATAAGATACACGTACTTAAATTATGAAATTTTTGTTCGCGCAACTATTCATCGATAGCTTCGATGCTCGGAAGCCCTGCAAAATTCTGCTCCTAAGTACATCGAAGGCACATCTTTTATTAGGCACGACCATAGAGAATTTCTTGTTTTCGATATTACGAAAAGGATTAGAACAAAATATCTTCGAAATTAATCGAAATGTCAAAAAAAAAATATTATATATTGGTTTACAATTATTTATACGAATATTAAGCCGCCTGTAAATATGTAATGCTTTATACTTGATCGATAACCGCTTACGAGTGCCATCTGTTAGTAAGAAACTTTATGATAAGCAACGCATATATACGTAAAAGAGACCGTGTTGCATATCGAAGGCGCTTGAAAAATGTTTCTTACTGACGGATAACGTTAGAAAATTCCAATTATCGACCAAGTATGAAGTGACGTCAATTTTCATTTGCTCAACTCAATATTTACATAAATATATAATTATAGAAAATTTATAATATGAATATATTCGAATCATAATAATGTTAAATAAAGTAATAAACGAACGAATAAATCAATCACATAATATTCGAAAATGATTATCAATAAAGAATTGTTCGTAATGCTCGCTATTATTACTTTAAGACTAGAAATAAGGACTATATGTCCTGGCACAATAGGTATATGTGTAAAAAGATAGTACGATTTGAATTTATCCAATAATTGCCTGAAGTTTCGATTGTTTCAATAAGATGTTACACACCAAATAATAACACAGAGAAAAACTTGTACTAAGAAAAGTAATTAATTAACATTATAAGTTACTCTCGCATTCAATTTTCACTTTTCTATTAATTAAAACGGAACAATTAATTGATGGCTATATCACGCTTCTAATATATCTATTAGACATCAATCAACAAAAAAATTCAACTATGCTTGGTTTTGTGTCAAAGTTAACCGTTCCATTTCAATAAGGCCGCTACCCCAAATCTTTCGATTTTTTGTAAAAGGTATAACACCTATCAAAAGACCAGCTATAATGATCCATAAACCAGCCATCGTAAAAGACATGTCCCAAGAATTCGTTATATCGAATAGCCAACCGGCCAGCGGTGGTCCTAAAAGATTACCTATACCCTGACAGAGCAGAGTCAAACCATAAGCAGTGGTAAATCTTTCCAAGGGAATCAACTCAACCAGAATAACTGGCGTGAAACTAAAACTACTGGCGAAGAAGAGTCCAAAAGATGCAGATGTGATAATCAGTGGGATGTAATACATAGTGAACGTAGACATCAGAATCGTAGATATACCACAGATAGCCAAACAACAAGCATATGTTTTACTGACGTTCATCCAGGGTTGATCACCTGCCCATCCAAGACCGATCTGTAAAATTACCAAGACTATAACTCTGCTAGTGATTTTTTTCTATTACGCATGTTTTGACTTACCATTCCAATTGTATTCGTTATACCAATAATGCTAAGGAGATTAGCACAATCAGAGTCAGAGTAACCATTTCTAGTAAGATGTTCGGCAAGGTAGAAGTAAGGTACGATAAACCAAGTGAATAATAATATTGTCGAGAGCGACATCAACAGAAAATGAAACTCCAGAAACATCGAAAAATCCATCATACCTTTCAATATATTTACTAATTCGCTATACCATTTCTAGAAAAAAAGATTTTTTTTAATATTTCTATTAAATATTTTTAAAATCAAAATCGTTTTTATTATATTCAAATAATTTTACCTCTTCGCTTTCCTTCGCTAACGTAGTCATACTATTTCTATAAATATTTGGACAGCTACTGGCTCTTAATCTATATTTCTGAAGATTTAATGCTGCACCTCGATACATAACCGAATTTCTATGAACCCTAATGTCTTTGAAGTAATGTGTATTTGTGCTAAATTGCCTTCTCAGCCAAGGCAACGAGTCCGTCCTGACGACTCCATCCGTCAAGCCGGGTATATGATGTCTCGATTTTATCTTTTCGGTATCAGTCATCTTAAATCATCCAACACGGAACACATGTAATACTAATGTATATATTATACTAATCTTTTTTCTATTCTAAACTTTTTTCCATATCTTCTAAAGTAAAACTTACTGGTATCACGATGTCCTTTTTTATGAAGTAACTGGTTTCGTTGACGTCATTCAAAATTTTCTTATCGCCATTAATTGTTTCTTGATATTCTGGATGAATATTCTTATTTTCGTCAGCTTTCTTGATCCTAACGAAATATAAACGATTTGAATATTATATCGAGTCAAGGATATAGTACAGAATTTAACGTAATAAAAAAATTAAATCTATAAACCTCATAGACATAGTGACGCCAGCTTTCTTGTAATCATCTCCCATAGAATCATCCACTAATTTATCCGAGAGACTTCGACACTTCAAAAGATTCGGATAATTTTCTAGAATGACATTGTAGAGTCTTGAATTAACGGAGAGTGATTCTAAAACTTCCAAAGGCACCTGAAATCCTCGTAAACAGATATTTCTCCTTATCGCTTATCTTCGTTTCCAAAAAGAGGCAATAACTTCGGCTCTAAATCGTTCAACCAAGTTGATCATTATAATTTACATCCTACCTTCTCGCACTCCTTGACGAAAGTAGGCAAATTGACGACACTTCTGAAAGTTGAACCACGCGTGGCAGCTCGATTAGGTGTTGCTGTGCTAGTACCAAGACTTTGAAGTAGGTATTCCGTTTTGCCACTCTTCAACATCTGTCGAATTTCCTCAACGCCTGGAAATTCATCAGAAAATCCATGGAACGAATCATCGACCTCGGATTTGATGGTGTTCGATTTCTTCGGAGAAGACAATGCCTGTTTTTTTTGTTCCAAGATCCACCATTTCGGATCACGCATGACTGCACCGCAAACAATCATGTTAAAGAATGTACCAGCCAACATGAGACAAGTACCACGCCAACCATATTCCTCGATGAAGAAAGTTGTCATCGGTGCATAAACAAAGGTACCAATACCGGTACCACATGCCCCAAGACCTACAGCTAACGTACGCTTCTTGTCAAACCAATAAGCGATGCTCACGACCGCAGTGACGTAGCACAAACCTAAGCCCAAACCCGCTATGACGCCAAATGTCAAGTACATTACCTCGATGGTGTTGCTGAAGCAGCTCAGAATAAAACCTAATCCCGAAATAAGACCTCCAAGGATCGTCATCTTCCTACAACCGTAACGATCCACTAAAGCAGACATGACAGGACCAGATAACAATGGTACAGCCATGAACAAAGAACCAATCCAAGCTGTTTTCGCCTTGCTAGCTCCAAATTCTTTAAGAAATTCGATATAAAGCAAGCCAAAACTGAAGGATACTCCGTCGGCTATCATGGAGATTATCAGAGAGGCTAAAACGACTACCCATCCCCAACCACCGTCTGGTATACGTGGTTTTTTGTTAACTTCCTTATCTGCGATTGTAGAATCGAGATCATTCTCCAAATCAACGGCACTGTCAAAATCGCTGATGTCTTTTATGTCTCCTTGATATCCAGGATTGGCTATAATAATTGGTATTATCGAATCGTCGTTATTTGGATTTTTTTTTGTCGTAGGACTCTTTTTTGATTCTATCATCGAATTTGGAAAGATCAAACGATGTTCCCCTGTGGTTGAGAACATTCTATTATCCTCCGTACCATCTGTGTCAGGACTCAGGAAATCAAACTTATCTCCTAATTCATCTTCCAAACTCAGTATTCGATTTCTACCGAAATTATCAGGTGACATTGTCAGGAGAGTATCCTTATCCGGTGATAAAGATTCTATACTTCTGTCTATCGTACGAGCTGGTGTTGATTCAAGTAATCTTTCATCAGCTAGACTACTCAAATCCTCGGTGTTACCTGAATCTTGACAAATACCTGAACTTTTGGACGATGAAGTATCGCTGATATGGCCGTCGAAATCGATTCTATTAAAAAAATCAGGTTCAGGAGTTCTGCAAGGAGAACTTGGGAATATTGTTGGACTTCCATTATGCCAACCAACGATAGGTGCCCTTCTTCTCGGATATAAATTTTTAATATCATTTGAAGATAATCGACTATTGATCAAATCCTTCTCCGGATATACCATAACTGTTCGATCATTATTATCGTTAATGTTGTTATTATTATTGTTACTATTGCAACAATCATTATCTATATTGATCTCCGAATTTCCCAAGGATATCGGAAGCCTATTAATATCATTATCACGATCTTCAACGTATCTTGTATTTCTCCGATCGGCCATTTTCACGGCTTTTAAATATAACTATTGCCCGAGTGGATCCAACGACGGGGCCAACCCTTTAGCCCTTGGATCTCGCCCGGAATAGATCTGCCACGCCTTTCTCCTACCATAAGGACCTTCCAGCCGTGCTCGGATACCTCGAATGTCAATCGTTTCAGCATGCACGCTTTCTCGATTTCTTCGTCCTATGAACAATAATATTGTGGTATTTTATTATTAAACTTCTTGATCGATTCAATCCGGATAATTAGAAAGAAAACAATATTATAAAAAAAGAAATTAAAGAGAACAAATATTAACGAAATAAATGGAATAAAATGAAATGATTAACCAGTATACTTGTTCTCGTTTGTATTGCAACTGCTATTATCAAGCAACTAGTAGACAATGGGGTCACTGTTTTTCTCGACATCTACCTACATACTATCTACAGACAACTATCTTTCAATTATGTCCGATTAATGATAGCAAGACATCGTCTTGTATATGACGAACTCTTCGTCACACTTTCAATAATTTGTACGTCCACTGTTACAAGAAAGCCATTAGAATTGATCAATAATATCAACAAAAGTTTTGAAGAATAATCCATCGTTGTGCAATATTCTTTAATTTGTTTCATTAATTTATCTTTAGAAATTCTTAATGAATTCGATATTTTCTCTATATATTGCCGTTTATTATTATTATACAATACATATAATGTTATTTACAACTGATAATTAGTGAACACTCTCAAAAAGGAAGAACAATTTATTTATAATAAATAATACAATTAGTTACTCACCGTCGAGGTAGTGTAAAGACTAAAATACGTGCAAGCATGTGTGGGCGTAGAAAAGTGCGTGCGACACTTGACGGTTTGAGCAAATAATAATAAAAATGGAGCTAAATAGATAAATTACGAAAAGAAAGAAAAATTAGGAATTAGCATTTACAGGATTGGTTAAACGTACAGCATGCAGGATTTTGAATGCAAAAATTAACTCTATTTTCTTTAAAGCTGAAAAATAAAATTGATTAATTAACAGAAAACTAATTAAAAAGCTGAAAATAATAAATATAATAAATAATCACTCCGTTGCCTTATAAAATTATTATAGACAATTATTCTCACTTATTAATTACGTGTTTATCACAATTTAAGTGAAATAATTGTAATTGTTATTTGTTATCGGAAGATCTCATATTACGTAATCAATGTCACATTTGTTAAAACGTAAATTGTTATGACGTAAATGAACAACCTATTATCATGTGGTTACGTGATTAATCTGTAATTAAGCTGTTAATAACAAGCATTCACCTTTATTCATTTTTCAACGTTTTCTCTTCAAATTCATTCATGTTTACAATGAATTCTCCTAAAGAGACTATATCGATCTTAATTACGAAACCATATTTCTGTCTAACTAAAAACAATGAAATTAAAAAGTCATCATAATTTAAGAGTCTTATCATCAGATAAACGTGATACGTCCTCGTGTTAGACATGTTTCCTTTCTCAAGAATTTCATTTTACTCTTTTGTTCTTTCTAATTTTCTTACTTATTATTAAAAAAAGTTAATATTCATTTCTCTTGTAATATAGGTGCTAATAGGTCAACGATCGATTGGTAAGTCAGGGACGATGTTATAGTTAAGCACGAAGTTCAAAGCCATCTCTCTCGTGTACAGATCTAATCTTTCCTAACTCAAGGCCATTTACTGTTAAATTATTTTCTGTCATGAAATAATAATTTTCTCATATCTGCCTTTTGTTTGAAATTTCAATTAACCCGGTTGAATATTAAATAGTGATTAATTAATTGAATTATTATTATTACTAATATAAATCTCTCAACTATATTTATATAAACGTAATGTATGTGTGTGTGTGTGTACTTATTGTATGTTAACGTCAATATTATCATTAGTATTATTACTATTATAATTAATTCAATTTCTGTCGTAAATTTTTAAATAAAAATTGATTAATTTTCTTCTTCTTCTCTTTTTTACGGAAAGAAAAAGATTTCTTCGGAAACATTTATATTCTCATATACGTATAGGAATACTCGGTTAGCCGATGCTTACCATCGGTGGGAGGAAGAGGCATCACCATGACGACCGACTTGGTCGATTTTCGCGTCTCCGTTTTTATCGGCGAAAAAACACATAAAGACAAGATCTTCCGAATCTTAACATATTTATTGATATATTAAACTCGTTTAAAAATTAATAAAATCACATTTAAAGGAAAGAAAATGTTGCTAGACCAAAAAGACAAAAATAACAACTTTTTTTTTATTAAAAAAGAAAAAAAAATCGAATAGGAAAATATGTGAGTTTTTTAACAGTTAAATTAAAATTATATTCTGGTATAAAAGGTAGATTGCAAAAGCTCACTATTTTCTATTTTCGAACTTCCGTTCATAACTGCCACGCCTTGTGGCACTGAAAATCCTATGTAAATCGATGAAATTAAAGCAAATACAGATGATTATCATTATTGAAGTTCCGAGTAGTTTTAGATCAATTATAGACGGATCATCGATCCAATATTTTAAAAACCTTCGTATTTTTAAGAGAAAGAACTCGATTCTAGAAAATTGTATTAAATAGAATGACTATCGATAAAGGATATCAGTTACCTATGCAAATAAATGATCAAATCAATTATTCATATTTTTAACAGTCAAATTACTTAAAGCGATTAATGATTTCGTGTAAATATAATTTTCTTACGAAGTTAATTATTTCCATCTATCCCATATGCAAAATTATTGCAGTAATTATATTTCAAAATTATCTTCTATTCTGAAATGATTATAAATATAAATATGTATAATATATATCTACTACCATTTAACAAGAAGCCATGTACAAACGCGATACAGCGTGACACAGATATAGTCTCGAGTGTCACAGTCCTCGATAGATATAAGTAACATCTATATATATATATAGATGTTACTTATATACACACATATATATATACACACACACATGTATGTATATATGATGTAGAGACAGACCAGCTTTTGCGAATAGTATCGACATTTTTTCTCGAATAAAAATGTCAAGAGAACTTCAAATTCGTGAAGATTTCCGACGATTCTTTTTTATTGAACTGTCTTCTTTTATGTACGTAAATAAAAAGGAAAAGTAAGATAAGACAACGAGACTGTGAGCTCCGATTTAGACAAACAGAGAATCGTCTCAAGGACGAATGACAGGTCGTATATATGTATGTATGTATGTATGTATATATATATGTACGTATGTATATATATCTATATATATACAGGGTGGGGTATTTACATGGATGGAAAATCTTATAATGAATTATAAATATATGATAATAATTGATGGATATATACAAGATGATCTGATAATTACTATCAAATCACCTAATTAAATTTATAAATATTTTTCAAATTCTTGACTTATACTACTTAACTCTCTACAATGTATTCGTAAAAAATGAATTAAACATTTAAATGATAATACACACATAAACATGTATAGTAATATATATAGTAAACACATATAGTGATTGACAACAGTAACATTAACGTCTTTGTGCAAGATTTTATTATATTAATCAATCCAATTAATTAATTTTTCTTCACGATTTTTCAATTGATTGCAATGCTACCTGCAATAGACGAAGCACACACGTGTTACACTTCTTAAAATATAAACGTACGCAAGTGTTCAATCACGAACGAGTAATAATTAATTCTTTAAAAAAAAAGAAAGAGAAAAAGATATCAGTTTTATCGATCGTTTTTCTCAGTTTGATTTAGTTAAGAGTACTGTCAGAATATCTCTTTACAGATGCTAGACGTAAGAGATTTGGATCAGATCCAAAATCGATTTCGAAAACTTATAACCGTCGTAGTTTCATGAACGAGATACTATTTTTAATTGCGTTTTGCTATAGTTAATTTATATCCGGGATACTATAGATAAAAATTTTGTCTAGACGAATTCCCTCCTTTCTTCTTCGTCAAATTCAAGAACGTTCTCCTTCGGTTATTTTATTTTACGTTAATTAATTATCTATATAAAATCATTTCACATTTTCATATATATATCTTTATATTTTAAATCTTATTTTGTCTATCTTATTACAAAATTAATTGTTGATTTATATCCAAATGTTAAATACATTATATATTGAAAAATTCTGCACCTTTCATTTATTTATCTTTAACATAATATAAAAAGTGCAAAAATAAAACTTTACGCTATGTGGACAGAACTTTTTAATAGATCCCGATACTTACTATGATTAGTTAAACTATAAATATCACATTATATACATTTCTTTTTTAATATAGAAAAAAATCGTGTTTTAGAAAAAGAAAAAAGAAAGGAAAAAAAACAAAATTAAGAAAAATACGTAGAACAATAATACCGAACAATGATTAACCCGACTTACCACGAAAGACTTATCCGAAGTTCGCTCGAAATCGATCCAAACGTAAGTAAAATACGTCTCGCCCCTTTTCGAATTTTCGCGGAAAAACAATGGACACCTTCTCCCTCTTCTCAAAACTTTAAATTTTCACGAAATTTTATTCCCTTTTAATAAAATATCGTAATACCTTCGGTGTGATTTTTTAAAAATATTTTTGTTTTTTACTGAAATTGTTTTCTTTTTTTTTTTTTTTTTTTTTTTTTTTTTTTTTTTTTTTTTTTTTGATGACACGCACACGTGCGAAACAAATGGAGACAAGGATAGATTAATAGATAGAAAGAAAGAAAGAAAGAGAGAAATGAAAAAAATTTCAAATCACAGAGAGGGTTGTTCAACGAAAAAATGTGCGCGCGCTCGTGAACGTAATAATAAGACAACTTCTCTTTACGAGGAGACACGATAAACTGAACGAAGTGAGTTCAACACTGTAAGCAGCACGGAAAACGCGTCATTCAGAGAAGGTGCAGAAACAACGCACCTGTATCCGGCGTTCCTGAGAGCGCATGACGAGAATCTCTCGCTCTTGCGCACTGCCACTATACGAGGAAAACACGAAACGAATTATCATTTTTACTGGTGTGTCTACTATCTGTATATATGTACATATATATATATATATATTCATGAAGTTCGAAGATAAATCCCGATCCTCGTTGAATTTATAATGCTCGAAATGAATCAATAAAATTACACGAAACGCGAATATATTATATTTTATATAAAAATATTTTTTTCTTTTTCAGATTTAAAAATATAAAAATTAATTTTTTATACTTTATGAGAAAATTGTATATGTTTATACACAACATAAAATAAATAATATATACATATATATATACACACAATATATATTTATGTGAAGATATATATATATATATATATATATATATAACTTTGTGTGTGTGCATGTGTCATATATTTATGTGGCTTTGTCCATTTATTGTCCTATTATCTTCTTATTTTTTATCTTCTTTCCTTTTGTAATTTTACTATATAAATTATCATTCTTTGAAACACAACAAATATTTGAAACCAAGAAAAAAAGAAAAGACAGATGATAACCCCTCTATTATACGATATAAGAGAAATTTTAATAATCTTGATGCGTTTTCTTATCACACAGGAGTGTTATTAATACGTTGCAACATTGATATAATCAGTAAGCATATGTATGTATATATATATACGCATGCATGTCTATTTATAGATGTACGAGTATCTCAACTCTTCGTAATGAAGCTTTGAACTCAGTACTATAAAATGAAAATGAAAAAAAAAAAAAAGAAAACAAAAAAAGACAAGTAATATGCAACAACTTTAGTTTTTTATTTCGATGAAAAGAAATAAAAATCTTAATTAGAAAATGGAAAAAGTACAGATTGAACACAAATGAAGTATTAAAGATGTTTAATAAAAGGATTTACTTAAAAACATAGAATGAATTTTTGTTTCTTTTAAACATAGATTTTTTATTAGATAAGAGAGAAGCCGGATTGTGCTATTGCTTCCTCAAAATTAACGATCAAACAAATCCTCGACGCAACCTCCAATTAAAAGACCTCATTAACTCTTTCATTCATTGCATATATATATATATATGGGTGTAGGTATATAAGAATATTTTCCTTATTTTCCGTACTTATTTTTTCTGGTCTTTTAATTTGCTAACTTTAAAACTACAAATGGAGGTGTCATCGATCGTCGCGATCGATCAAAATTGATCTTATCATGTACACCTTCGTACATTCGTAATGTGATTATTTTTGTCTTCATAATAAAATATTTCTTTATATACGTTTCCTAGATACGCCTTCTCGAAGCTACGCATGCGCGAACTGGCGCAATCATATAACGCATAAACATACGCACTTTTTAAAATATCTTTCATTCTAGCACAATCAGACGAGAAAGTTTTCCGAGTAACCTTACGATAACTTTACAATTAAATGCACGCGTTAAACTTCTTAATGATTACCTATTTTTCATTTAATAAATATTTTTAATAGAAAAAAAAGTCGTCGAGTACATCAATTTTATCAAGAATGAAAATATGTATATATATATATATGTATATATATATATATATATATATCGATATATAAATATATCGAAATGATTTCAAAGAAAAATATTAATTAATTAATATATTAATTAAAAAATAAATTCTTCCTTTTTTTCACAAATCAAAACAAAATAACAAAACGAAGATCTTTGAAATATTCTAATGTATTAAAAAATTAACATAAAAATCAAACAAGAACAATTCTATTCATTTTGAATAAATTTCGATTGTCCATGTATATGTGTATATACGTATGTACGTACATTCGCATAATTATCTTACGAGTGTTTTAAATTTATATCGAATTTTCTCTATAGTAGCAATTAATTGTATAGTTATCGCAATATATATATATATATATATATATATATATTACATTATATATATGTGTGTGTGTGTATATATATATATCTTTTTAGCTAAATATCACAAAACACACCGATCGACTCGTATCCGTAAACACAGCGAATGGTTCAAACTCGGATATTATATATTAATACCGATACGATTCCAACACTACGTATTTATGTATTACACATACGTTCAAAAAACGGAATACCACATACGTTTAAGTGAAACTTCGAATTTTTTTCTTTTCCCTTTATTTTTCATTTATTTTTTTTTTCTTCTTCAACTCTACCCGCGAAAAGTAGATATGAGATAATAATTCTAAATTGATACGAAGGCCACGTGAAACTATATACTCCGCGTAAGACGATGTTGTTGATCCTTCGGATTAAAGGGCACGCATACATTCATTCTTTCACTCACTCACACGCTATACAATCTAAGCTATCCGTTTTTTCTTGTAGAATAGTTCACAATGCTCACCATTGAATCCACTGATTCATCATCACAGAAAAGCAATATATATATATATACATATCCCATTATTTACAAACGCTTCTTTAAATTACGAGTACACGCCATCTTGATGATTATGATAATGTTGATGAAACGACGATGACGATGATAATGATGATAATAATAATGAAGTTAGATATATAGTGTGAAGAAAAAGAATAGAAAACAATTACGTGAATACTCAAGAATTATGTAAATCAGTTAGTGATATACATATGCACTTGAATGATAAATCTATAAAGAAAAAAAAAAGAAAGAGAAAAAGATAGAGAGAGGAAAGAGATGCCGCATAGTGCATTGAAAAAATTCATATAGCAATTATTCATGTAGCATATATATAAATATATATGTATATATATACATATACGTATATATATATATATGTATTATATATATATTATATATTATATATATACTATATATATGGCATATATATATATGCTACATAAATTATATATATACCTGTGTATGTGTACACACACACACAAATATACACACATTAATAACTAAAAGGCGTTATCCCCGGATAACTTGTCAAATTACGTCACGCAACATGTGTGAACGAAAAAGAAGGAAACTATAAACACTAGTAGACATCTAACAACGATCATGAAAGAATATGAACGGAACAAGGTCGAATACTGTGCCTCGTGAATTGATTCCTCGACACCAACGATTCGCCATTCTCCCCTATGTATGTATTTGTGTCTTATATATTACGTATGTACGTGTGTGTATGTGTACACTATATATATATAGTACATATATATATATATAGTACATATATATATATATATATATATATAGTACATATATAGTATATATATATGTATATGTGTAACGTAATACAACGCAATGTTACAATAATGTAGGACAATATAAGGTAATATAATTTATATAATGCAGTATGCTAATAATTAATATCCTGAGATTCGAAACTGCATATAGCTGTCGATGCTCGCGATACCAAACAACTTTCTTTTCTTTATTTTCGTAAGAAACGTTTAAACGAATCTTATAGAGATCTCCGACGAGCTGTACGAATTCATACTACAGCCAAACTTTCTGTGTTCCTAGTTTGTACGTATTTCTATTGTAATTATCTCTTATATATGACTATAGTAAATTTTAAATCTTTGTTCTTACACAACTGTCGCCCTTTGAAGTGTATCATCCAATCACGAGACAAAATTCTTTGGCCTTGGATCACGACTCTCAGAACATTATCCACGATAATGTTGATTTCATTTGTTCTTTTTCTTTCTATTTTCTTTTTTTCTTTTTCTTTTCTTTTCTTTTTTCCATAATCCTTTATCCTTCTCTTTCGTATGTAACAAGCAATATGTAAACGTCAAATCGATCGTTTTCTTTAAAAAATTCATAAGTCTATCATTCTCTCAGATATAATTGTAACGTGAACGTTAACGAGAACATGCTTCTTATGAGCTCGACGGATCTAACTATATATTATCGACTATAGATTGCTTTTTTATTTTTATTTTCTTTCTTTATCATTATTTTTTTTTCTCTGTTTATTCATTATGAGAGATAAACATGCAAATAACAATTTAAAAGTTTGAAAAAGTCGAATTTGTAAATTACCCGTCTCAAACGGTTTTTTTTCTTATTTTTTTCTTTTTTTTCTTTTTTTATTATTATTTTTTTGTAATATTGATCGACCGACTTTGGACCTACAAGATACTTCGTTATTTCTTGTTCTTTTTTTTTTCTCTTACTCTCTCTATTTTCTACGGAGGAACCATAAAACGTTCGACTGGAATAATATTAATAGTAATATTAGTAGTAGTAGTAGTAGTAGTAGTAGTAGTAGTAGTAGTAGTAGTAGTAATAATAATAATAATAATAATAATAATAATAATAATAATAATAATAATAATAATAATAATAATAATAATAATAATAATAATATTAATAATAGTAATAATAATAATAATAATAATAATAATAATAATAATAATAATAATAATAATAATAATAATAATAATAATAATATTAATAATAATAATAATAATAATAATAATAATAATAATAATAATAATAATAATAATAATAATAATAATAATAATAATAATAATAATAATAATAATAATAATAATAATAATAATAATAATAATCAACGTGCAACATGAAAGTTAATATTATATAATATGTATATAGACGGTACGCGTCTCCGTCAGAAAAATCTTCAAAATACATAGAAAGTATGTGTGTTTTCTTTTTTATGTCTCTTTTTTTTACGCGTAAATTTACAATTCCTGAATTGGAAAGATAATTTTCCCATAAATTCCATTAACCTCCTCCTCCTCCGTTATTTTTTTTTTGTGTTCATTTTGTTTTTAATATCTTTCGTATTGTAATGTTATGAATCATGTCACAATTTAAACATTATTCGTTTCAGCGAAATCCTTGTTAGCTACCTCTTCCTTCAAGCCTGGCCTAAATTTTCGATAGAGGCCGATGAGTGGCGTTACCAAAAGCAACGCCCCGCTTACGGCAATGAAGAAGCCGGCCAAGTAGAAGGAGAGATCATACGATCCGGTGATGTCATATAACCACCCTGAAAGAATAAAGAACGGATCGATAAGGTCGAAGACCCTAGTCGCGAAATTTCAATCACAGACTGGGTTGTTAAAAATAATCTAACCCTAATCGTCTTTTAATAAGGGTAAATAAGTAGAAGATTGAAAAGAGTCTAACGATAAAAGGTGGATTTGTTTCGTTGAAAATGTTTCCTATCTGTGTAAACAAATTTCAAAGTATATTACGATCCAATAATCGATGGTATCTAACCTTTTTGACCGCATTTTGACCACTTTGATAATCTAATACCTAAATCTGTACATGAACTCACTTGGAACAAGCAAATGGAACAAGTGAAGAAATTTGACACGGGCAAGTTATCAATAATGGATATTTTACCAGCTAACGGTGGACCCATGAGATTTGCGACACCCTGAACAAGAAGTAAAAGTCCATAGGCATTGGTAAATCTCTCAATTGTGATTAGCTCGACGAGAATGATGCTGGTAAGACTATAATTCGCCGAGATAAAGAGACCAAAGGCACCAGATATTGCGCAGAGCATATAATAATTGCTGACGACCATAGGTATCATAGCCGTGACTGCACCACAAAGTGACATACACACGGCATAGACGATGGAAGCATTCGCCCAATCTCTATCACCAGCCCAACCTAGAATAATCTGAAAATAATGAAAAAGAAATAACAATTAAATGACTCTTGTAATTGTTCAGTTTAAATAAAAAGAACAACAAATTGTTGTGATTACCTCGCCACCCATGTTGGTGATACCAATTACCGAAATCAAAATGGAAGCGTCGGTTTCGCTGAAGCCCATCTCAATGGCATTATCTGTGAGATAGACATAAGGTACGTCGTACCAAGTGTGTAAAAGGAAGTTACTGATGGCAAAGAGTAAGAATCGTGAGTCGGCAAAATGGGAAAAGTCCAGCATATCAACGATAAGATCCCAGAACTCCCAAAGGCCGGCGTACCAGACCAATTTCGTTTTAGCTATCGTGGTCATCGAATTCCTGTAAATATCTGGACAGCTTGAGGCTCTCAACCGATACCTGTTGATATTGAGCATGGCTCCTCTATATGTGAGACTGTGCCTGTGCATCCTGATGTCCTTGAGATAGGCTGTGGGCAGTCTTCGTGGATGTTCCATGGTACTTGAACGGCGCAAAGGACTATCGGAGTTGATTTTTTTTAACCACCAAAGATACGCGGTATCAGTCTGTCTTCCATGTTCTTGCTCATCATTTTTCGAGCTTTTGTCTTTCCGATCCTCGCCTTTAAGATCAGCTAATGGGCTGGGCGTTGGTACGAATCTAGCTGAAGGTATACTTATTTGATCGTGAAGAGCACCGGAATCGCTGAAGCTCTTGGAGGATATCAAAAGATTCGGATAATTTTGTAATAAGACGTTATAGACATTCTTTCGAGTACTTAATAACTCTAGTACTTCGAGTGGAACCTTCTCTCCGTTTTTAACGAAAGTAGGCAAACTGACGAGACTGGAGAAGAGTTTATCGTCGTCTCCTTCCTCTTGCAGGCGAAGATTCTCGATGATCATCGCATTCGCCGAAGCAAAACTTCTTTTTGTATCACCGTGAGGCGTTTGAGTTGTTGTATTTGCCGAACTACTTGCGGAAAACGAATCAGCACTGGAGCTTTGTATTCTCGATCTCTTTTTCTCACGATTTTTTCTCCTCTCTTCAGTTTTTGCCTTTGTTATGGTGGTCGTCCACTCGAGATCTCTCATCAAACAACCACATACCGCCAAATTCAAAAACAAACCTGCTAGTATCAACATCGTTCCTCTCCAACCATATTCCGCAAGAAGATACTGAGTTACAGGTGCAAAGATAAAAGTACCAATGCCGCTGCCGCAGACAGACAATCCTGTGGCGAAAGATCTCTTCTTGTCGAAGTAGTAAGCGACGATGACGACTGCCGCAACGAAACATAAAGATAATCCGAAACCGGAAACGACTCCGAATGTGAAAATTAGAACCCCCATTGAATTTGCGTATGAACTCACGATAAATCCTACGGTTGCTAATATACTACCAGCTATCGAGACTCTCCGACAACCGTACCTGTCCGTTAGAAAACTCGCTACTGGTCCAGACAGCAAAGGCATTGCCATAAAAAGACTACCTATCCATGCAGTCTTTGATTTGCCTTCTCCAAAATAATTAAGAAACTCGACGTAAATGACACCGAATGAAAAAGTGATGCCATCCGCTATGAGATTAACCATAAAGGAAGCAGCAACCACAACCCAACCCCAACCACCGTCTGGTGGTCTGGCTTCACAAAATTGATCGAGAGTCGAATTGTCCTCAGAGCTACTGGTAGTCGAAGTAGAGATTGAAGGACTCGGATGTGGCCTCTCGTCCGATAAATTCTGTTGCTGTTGTTCTTGTTGTTGTGATTGCTTTTTCGAATCCTTGTTAAATTGAACATGATGTTGTTGCTTTTCTTCTCTCGGTGATTTACCGTTAACGAGTCTTTCCGTACTTTTCTCTGTAAGTGAGTGACTCTTCGACGAGAGAGGGATCCTCGTTGGTGATCCAAAAAGCGAATTTCTCTCGTTAAAAACATTCTTCAACTTTTGCGGACTAAACGAGTCATCTTTATAAAGACTTCCTGGTCTCTTTGGTGAATTATTCATACTTTCTGTCAACTCTTGTTTCGCTTCTTGTCGTATCCTCGATCCAGGCTCTAACCACTGATCGCTATAATTCTCTACAAGTCTTTTCTCTTCGCTGTTATCCTTATACCTATTTAAAGCTTTGGAAGAGTCCTCTAAGAGAACCTCCATCATTTTCTGTCTTCCAGTATTTTCTTCTGTCTCTTCCAGGCCCATTTCGAAAGGTGTCCTATTGGTAACCTCAATAACAATCTTTCGATCATTCGAATCCAATACTCCATTTCCCTCCAATGACCCAGACTCCTTCGGAAAACCATCGTTTCTCTCACCTATCGATCCATTTCGTTCATTCTTTCGACTATTTCTCTTGCCCTTGAACTTGGTCCAGTCAGCCATATTGGCGAACACGAAGGAAGCGTTCTTCGTTCAAACGCAATTTATCTGACTTTGTGTCGAATGACATCAAAGCCCACCTTCGATGTTTCTTCTTGTGATTTCCCTTCTTATAATCTCACAACGAGAATCTAAAGAAAATGAAAAGAGAAAAGAAGAAGAGAATATGATTTCTTTTCCTCAATGAGGTTTAATTGTTTTAAATTTCGTAGAAAACTTCACGGAACTTTCAATTCAAAACCGATTTAGTTTCGTCCTTGATTTAAATAATGGTAAACACGGCCACTCGTATAACTGCCTAGTAAACTGACGACGTAACGGCAACAGCAACGCGGACGCGAACGCAGCGTAATATGAGAATATGATGTCTGGACGCAATTGGCCCGTAACCACACCGCCACCATCGCAAACTCGATCAAAAATTCGGCAAGTCCTTCTTGATGAGCCCCGTTTATGCTGATGCTTTTGCTTCTGCTGCTTGATCAGGACCACCTCCTCCTCCTCCACTAAACAATCGTCAACCCAGGCACCCATACGGCGAACGATACTGATTCGGCTCTAACGGTGTATTCTGGAAAAAAAAAAAACTTTCGATTATCTTCTGGTCAGGATGTTTCTATCTACTTCATTAGAAAAATATGCTGGTAGTGTGACCTAGTAAGTCGATTTCAACACTAGGAATTAAAATAAACTCTAGTATTTGATATTTTACAATTTTTGTTAGAAAGAGAGACAGAGAGAGAGAGAGAGAGAGAGAGAGAGAGAGAGAGAGAGAGAGAGAGAGAAAAGAGGATGAAACTATTACATTATATATATAAGTTTAAATGTGAAATAAAGATTTTTGAAATGTTCTATTGCTACAGTGATAGAAGTGATTTCTAAAATAATTATTGTTCATAAATTGGATATCGAACGTTCAATACATTCAACTAATCTGATCTAAATTCTTAACAAACTATCAAGTGAATTATAACGTAAGCTCTATTCGAAAGATTTCATGTGAAACTGAATATTTCACTCTCAATTGATATCGAATATGACAAATAAACGATATTGCTATATTTGATTAAGAATCCTTCTAATATCACTCGTGTTCCCGAGATTTAACTCGGCGAGATACGCCTAACAGAGACGAGATCCGCTTCTGACATTTCGTAACCGGTCGATGTAGCTGGCTCGAGTTAGAGTCGGCGATTATAAATGAAGTTCATTGTGTATGAGTTGCTATCAATTTAAGGATTTAACGTTGGCCACGGTGGTCACGTGGTTCTCTCTTGAGATACACTACGACCATATCTTCCTCCCCCACTGCGTTTCGTCTTCTTCTTCTTCTTCTTCTTCTTCTTCTTCTTCTTCTTCTTCTTCTACCATCATCTTGTTCCTTCTTCCTTCCGTATTCATCGAGGTCGTTTTTCTATTTTCTTTTTTTTGGAAATAAATTTAAATTAAAAAAAAAAAAAAAAGGTATTTATATATTTTTTTACTTAATATAATTCGCATAACAAAATTAATTGCTTTTATTTGTTTCTTACTATTATTTTAGTTTCTTAATATTTTCTAAATACATTCTCCGTAATAATTAAATAATGAAAAATTCAATAAATTTCTAAGATCCCAACAAAAAACAAATCAAAACGTTAAGTATTCACAAACTTTAACGACACGATATCTTCCGCGATTTTGAAAGTTAGCCAAGAAAACATATTAGAAGATGATACTTAGATACGTTTACGGTCTAAATTTGATCTCCGCTAAAGCTTTCGTATCTTTCCTTGAATGTAGCTTTTGGTAACAATTAATTGTACGTGTGAATGTAAACACAAATATACACACATACATATATAAGAAGAAAAGCGATGCAATGTTATATTTTAAGGTTACCAAGCAAAGTTGAGCCAATATTTAACGAGAATCAACATACATTTATATCGAAGATATAATAGTTGTCTTTGTCCACCTGCGCCAATCTTCCGAGTTTATTTACGTGCTCTTCCTAGTATTCGTGTATTTAAAATCTATCATAATACCCCTGAATATTATCCGAGAATGTTTTTAGCCGAGCTAAAATGTCAAAGATCGTATGGAAAAAAAAAAAAAAAAAAAAAAAAATATAAAAAGAAAGAAAGAAAAGAAGTAGAATTATTGACTTTCTAGAAAAACAGAAATTCTAATATTTTAGCGAAAAAATATTAAATATTGTCCAATATTGAAAAAACTAAAAAATTGCATTATTACAAATATTTTTTTACGAAATTGAACGAAAAACTATGTATTAATGCACATATTAATTTTGCAACCACATACATATATTAAAAGTTTAAAGATCAGATAAATTAAATCTGTCAAAGAAAATATTTATTTAAAAAAAGGATTCAATTATTTTTTAAATAAATTTGGATTTTAAAAAATTTTGTTACACTACTATTCATTTCACGTCTACTTCTCGTTTCTCAGAACAAACACGCTCTATCTCTCTGCTAACCACTCGTTGAATTTTAATTGATATCTTGTCATTTTTAATGACATCTATCCTTTACTTTCAATAGAGTTATTAATCCTCTACAACCCAATTTTTTTTCCATTTCCAAATGAAAAAATAGTTCAGACAAAAGTTAGTCGTTTTTTCACGTAGAATATGTTGCCGTTATAAAAAATGTGGATTTCCATTAAAAAGAAAAAGAAACCGAAATTAACTTTGAAATAATGATTTTGAAATCTTCCACTCAAATAAAAACAATAATATTTCTTGATATCAAATAATTCTTATCTGAACAATTTTTCTCCAAAAATATCTTATTTCCGAGATAAACATTTGCAACGCTATTTAAACACCCAGTATATATTATTATTATATTATATTGATTATAACTTAGACTTAAAAAAGAACACTAAAAACCTCGTATATGAACTAATAAATAATTTCGTTGTTATAAAATGAAATAAGATTGAAAAAAAAACACATACATATATTATGAACCTATATATATTGAGTCGATAACTAAGTGATTGCGGATTTTGTCAATAAATATTCTTAGTATATTCTTTTGTTTTGTCAACGTGTTTAAAGCACTTAAACTATATTATTTTCTTGTTTGGACTTCCGTCTTTATAGCAAAAAAATGTATCGATTAGTTATTTAGTTTCGTTTTTATCCCAATTTAAAAAAGGAAGAACAAGACGTGCATTTCAGACATATTTTATTGTATTATTTCCGAAAAGACAGGAACGCATCGTAATCACATAAGAAGTTAAGTGCCGTATATGGGAATGAAGCCTTGAAAGAAAGACAGCATCAAAATTGGTTTGCCAAATTTCGTTCTAGTGATTTTTCACTGAAAAATACTCAACGATCTGACTGTCCAGTTGAAGTTGATGAGATCATTATCCAAGGCCATTATCGATTCAAATCGTCAGGGCACAACACGTGAGATTGCAGAGAAGTTCAATGTATCGCATATATGCATTCAAAAAAAAAAATTAAAACAGCTTGGCTATATCAGGAATCTCAATTTATGGATCCCTCATCAGCTTAAGGAAATTCATTTGATGCAACGCATTAGCATCTGGGATTCGCTTCTGAAACGCAACGAAATTGATCCATTTTTGAAACGACTGATAATTGGCGAAGAAAAGTGAATAGTTTATAACAGCACTAATTGGAAAAGATCGTGGCTGATGCAAGATGAACCAACCCAGACGACATCAAAAACTAAGATTCACCAAAAAAAAAATTATGCCGTCAGTTTGGTAGGATTATAAAGGAATTCTGCACTTTGAACTTTTACCAAAAAACCAAACGATTAATTTAAACGTGTACGTTCAACAACTCGCCAAACTGAGCGATGCAGTTCAAGAAAAGCGATCAATATTGGCAAATCGTAAGAGTGTTGTTTTCCAGCATGATAATGCAAAGCCCCACACATCTTTGGTCATTCGCCAAAAATTATTGGAACTAGGTTCAGATGTGTTGTCACATCCATCATATAGCCTTGACCTTGCACCTTCAGATTACCATTTATTTCATTCCATGCAAAAATCCTTAAATGGTAAAATTTTTGACACTGGTGATATAAAATCACATTTAATTCAGTTTTTTGCTGGCAAAAATCAAAAGTTTTATGAACATGTAATTATGACACTATCTGAAAGATGGCAAAAGGTTATCGACAAAAACGAACAATACCTAATTGAATAAAGTTATATTTTAAGAAAAAATTTTGAATTTTTCTTCTTATTTAAAATCCGCAATCACTTAGTTGTCAATCTAATATATTACATTTAAGTATGCGACTTCAAAGTTACATGCCATTATAAAGGGTTAAATATAATAGAATACAAAATCCTTCAGCTTTGTTGAATGACGTCGTCTAAAACATGCCCAGGTGTCATAATCCTTATTAATTACGGCGCTTAATTCACGAAAAAGGGTGGGCCGCTTCATTAAAACGGACAACCGGTGGCCTACTTTCTTTCGGCTAATATAAAACAATGTTCGAGGATGTGTACCTTTGTTATCGTGTCTAACGTAGAAAAGGCAGATAAATTAAGTGAATTCTCTGCAGGAATGTTGAAATATTATATATATATATATATATATATATATATATATATATATATACCATCAGATATACAAAATAAAAAGAAAAAACAAAAAATAAAAAAAGAAAGAAAGAAAAATGATTAAATAACGAAAATAATTATAAAACTTGAATAAATAAATAAATATCAAATTATTGTAAAATATTAGATATTAAAGACAAAATCTACATAAATAAATAAATTCAGTCATTGTATATATAAAACTAAATTCTTTTTTCTTTATCTTTTGTTTTTGTTTCATTTACAATTCTATTTTTATCTTCTTCTAACGCAATATAATTATCCCCTTATTTTTAATTAACTTACGCAAAGATATCGTCATTGAAGGGCAGAAACAATCGTACAATAATTGAACGTTTGATTGTTTGAGCAGATAACGGGTCGACGTCTCAACAACATACGATAAAATGAAAATAAAGAAGAGAACATAGATGAAGAAAGCAATGAAACAAGAGTAGACACACAAAAGACCTTCGACTATAGGGAGTCGATGCAATCGGTAGATCATAAACACTATTGTGATCACTTTCACACTATCGACGCCTTTGAAAGGGGCTATGGTGTACGAACGCTTATCGAGAGAACTTTTAAAGATAACACAACGATGTTGTCCCTCCTACAAGTAAAATCGAAAAAGTTAAAGGAAACAGATCCTCAATATTGTCGACGTTCGATCTGTCGGTTAAAATTAGCGATAAAAGACAAGAATGACAAATCAATTTTTTCATTCCTAACTACAAAATTATTGTATTTTCTTTTTTTTCTATTCAGTATATCATATATTAATATATATATATATATATATATATATATATATATATATACAATATATATATCCATTATTTTAGCGACAATATTTTTACCATAAAAAAGAAAAAAATTACATTTTACAAAAATTTATGACGACGTAATAATTCCCAATGTACGTGATTAAATTTTTGATCATTATTTTGAAAACGATCGAATAACGAGACACATAACAGAATGTTCATTTGTAGTTAAAACTGTGATCCCTGGTATAAACGAAAGAGCTTATCCTCAAGCTAACAATCATTATTTTTTTTTCTTCTTCTTTTTATACATAATACGACAAAAAAAAATGTATTATACGTCGTAAAAAACATTATATAAATATATGAAAAGAAAGATATCGAAAGACTCTAATCGAAATACCTAAGTAATATGTGCTCACTTAAAGTGCCATCAAGAATAATCCACAAAACGAGGTTTTGATAAAATAGACAATGAAATTATTGTTAAATGAAATTTCGTCCTTGAATCGCGAAAAGACGATAAGATTACCTCAGATGAATCCTTGACAAGCTTAAACTTACAAACATTAAAAGTTACGTGCTCCGTCGAACGCTCATTGCAATTTGAATTTTCTCGAGTTTCACTTATCTCTTCGGTTCTCTTTCTACCACGCATCTTTCCTCCCATCCCTCCATCTCCTCCTCCACTGCCTTCGGCCCACCTCCCACTCTCCCTCTCTCGCGTGAAAGGGAGAATCTGTAAATTCGTCGAACTTAGCGTCTTAAGACCATACTCTCTTCGTTAAACGTATCGGAAATCTATGATTTGTTACTACTAGGAATCACGATGGCAAATACTAGAAACTTTGACCATTCTAAAGTTCCAATCAAAAACATTTCTATTCATGTGCATTAATGGGAACAAATCGTTCATTATGTATAATACGAATTAATAATAAAATCACTTTTACTAATTTGTTATTAGTTTCCGAGTATGATCTTCAAAAAAAGAATACATATATATGTAATTAATACATATTACATAATATCTATGTGCATAAATTGAATAGAAACGAATATTGTTAGGAAATAATTATAATTTTATACTCATTGTTCACCATCTATTATATGCAAAAACTAATGCTTTCTACACTGGTTACATTCATAATTGAATTAAAATTCTTATTCAAATATTGATCATTCAGAAAAGTGTTTAATATAGAAATTAAAAAAACAATAACCAACGCAATAAACAATACTACATATAATTACGATTAACATAATTTTACACTTTGAATAATTTTTGTATATAATGCAGAATAAATTTGCATATACATGTGCAAATACGAAAATGAATCACTTTGCCTATAATAAAACTAGCAGCAAAAAAGAATATGAAATTAAAAAGATAAAGAAAGTAAATGAAAATACTTCGTGAAAAATCGAACAGTAAGTTCGAATTAAAGTTTGGCGCGTAACGTTTGAAGAAAGAAAGCACGTGGCTCCTTAGAACTGACAGTTCGGTTATTATCGGAAAGTCGGATAACGTTTGACCGGGAAACTATGGACCTTAGTTATCTCGAAAAAAACGAATGATCCATGGTTTACTACGTGTTTCGACACACCAATGATAATCATTTGTTTATCCATCCATAACGAAACATATTCTTGACACTTCAATGATATCATTTTTATCATTTGCTTCGTCAACCATTGTCATGCTTTATTTACCAAATTCAAAATTCTGTACGTGCTTATTTTTTATTAGTTTCAACAACAAAATTAAAACAACATTTGCTCTCTCTCTCTCTCTCTCTCTCTCTCTCTCACTCTCTTTCTCTTTTTGTTTATTTTTTGAACGTGATCGATCTCGTTGTATTATTAACAGAACGTGACTGTTTTCTTTTTATTGTTAACAGAATTAATCATGCAAATTTTTGTAACTTTCTCATATAGAAAGAAAAAAAAATCAATAATTCCTTTTTACCATATTTCCATCAAATTTCTCAGCCATGATGTTTTATTAATGCTTTAATTAGTTTCAGTAACTAAAAATTCACATTATCGTATCTATGTAAAATGAAATTCTTTATAGTATGTATATATGTATATGTATTTAAATATGTCTTTGCTATATCTTTCTAACGAAATAAAGAGTTTAAGGGTCAAGAAAGTAAATCCCTTACAATTGGATTTCTTCAGGTAAAATGACAATGTGAAACCATACTAAACGAAGTGTTGTTTCAGATTATGACGCTTTTCTTTTCATTTTCTTTTCTTTGAAAATTTAGCTTTTTCACAAAATATACACACATTCATACGTATATACATATATACATGCATATATATATAAACACATATATACATAATAATAAGTACATAATAAAAATAGTAGATATTAATGAATAATATTAATAATATCAAATATATATATATATATATATATATATATATATATATATAAACCTGGTATTTGATTATTATTGAATAACAAAAAAAAACGAAATCTCTTAATCATCTAGAAATAAATCGTTTAATTACTATTGATAAGTGAGATAACGAATCGACAGCTGTTTTAATTCGTTATCACTTACGAGCATTTATTTTCGTGTTTTCATCATTGTTCCGGAGCAATCTATCGAATATCTATCGAATATCTATCGAACGATTTTTATACGAAAACTCAATAGGAGTATCAAAAAAAATGGAAAAGAAAATAAAATAAAAAGGACGTACCATAACGAGAAAACACGTCATTAAAGTTGATTCCAAAGATCGGTAGAGGAAAGTGGAAGTGATCTCTCAACAATTTTTTTCTTTCCAACGTCCTCTTTCCTTTGAATTGAAACTTCGAATTACTTCGAATACGATCGATCTACTGAATCAAAAGTTTCATAAGGAATGTTACACTCGTGTAGAAAACATGAATGCAACGTACAATCCGTTCTGTAACGTTATCGTTAAATAAAAGTTCGTTTACACGATATCCATGTGTGTGTATATGTTATATATATATATATATATACATGTACGTGTATGTATGTGTATTTCTTGTCGCTCTTGAAATTCTTGAGATTAACACAATCAAAGGACAACACGTCCTTTATATTAAAACTATCGCAATATCTCGTTTCTATTTACGTTCTATCAATCGGTCGAATCTCAAATGGATCTTCGAACTTTTCATATCAACAGCAGCATCACGCGTGGTTCTTCTTATCACTCAACTCGTAAAAAGATTAAACTTCCACAAAACTCTCTCTCTCTCTCCCTCTCTCTATCCCCTCTCTCTCTCTCTCTTTCTTCCTCCCTTTCTTTTGTCCCTCTCTGTAAAATATTTCGAATTCTTTTTTCTTTATTTCTTTCTAATTTATTTTTATTTATATCTTGTAACAACCACGTGAGTTTCACGTTCCATGGTCTAATCTCCGATTTTTCTATCTTTACGTCTCTCTACGTCTCTCTCTTTCTCTTTCTCTCTCTCTCTCTCTCTCTCTCTCTCTCTCTCTCCTCCCTCTCTCCCTCTCTCTCTTTCATAAGGTCTCGAAAAAACAACACAAGTACGACGTGTCTCTCGCGATATCACATGACCGATATTGAATTTACGCGGGAACTTGCTAAACACACAAACTATTTTATTCTTTTTTTTGTCCCCCCATCCCCACTCCCACCTCCTAAGAAGATCAAATCTCGTGTCTCGAATTTCTAAATATTATATATGGTTTTTTCTTTCTATTTTTTTTTTGTCAAAATTACTTCAAATGCAAATAAATGCTCCCTCGTACGCGAGCGCCGTGATGGCCGGGTTAATACTGATAGCTGCCATCTAAGCGCACACTCTTCTCGGGTCTCTTGTATATATATATGTTTCTTCTTCTTTTTCTCCTCCTCCTTCTCCTTCTCCTCCTTCTCATCTTCCTCCTCCTCCTCCTCCTTCTTCTTCATAATCCCTCCTCCTTCTTTCTCCCTTCTTCTTCTTTTTCCCTCTTTCGTTTCTCTTGCAAGCTAACTCATATTTAAAATAAAAGCGCGCGCTTTTCCTTACGATTCGAATAGTCTAGATAAGACCCTAATTGCGACTGTATGATATTACATACATCGTACTAATCGTTATATATTATTTATATCATATCATCTATCGTCACCTAATTGTCGTGATTAATTTTCTTAGAAAAATAAAAAGGTATTGTTCTAGTGGATATTTGAATCGTATAACCAACTACATTTTTTATTTTTTATTTTTTCTTATATATATTTTTTAAATTTAATTAAAAAAGATTTTTGGATTAAAAAAAATTTTTCGTGAATAAATCAAAATTAAATTAATATTCGATACGTGAAGACAAATATCTGCACCTACGTATGTATATATGATAAATCACTAAATAAAACTTTTCGAATAACTAAAATATATATTTTGCAATGAAACAGATAAATTTCAAACTTACTTATTCTTTTTTTCATCTCTTTTGCACAGTCATTTGAAGGTGAATATGATCGTTCGAAATTCGTCTTTTTATAAGTTGCGAAATTGTGTCAGTACACCAAATTGTATAAAAAAAACTGTGAACTTTGCCTCTTAATGACGCTAATAACCCATACAAGCAGTTGACGCGATAATGAATGAAAAAAAAAAAAAAAAAAAACAGAGAAAAAAACATATTGTAGTAATAAAAATATGTCGATCTATTTGGAAAAATATTCATATTCTTGGAAAAAAAGAATTTGTGTTAAACGAAATATGATTCCTTATTAATAAAATAAATTTTTTTCTTTCATATTCTTAAGTATCTTCAAAAACAATAAAAAATATTTTTGATCCAGTAGAATTATGTTTAAAATGAGAATGATTTCTCTTAACAAAAATAGATATTTCTTGTGATAATACAAATTGTGATAAGCTATTTTGTTCGTCACAAAATTAATTCTTAGATCATACTAAATATAAGTTATACTTACAATTACACAGTATACTTAGTACAATTATATAGTATACATAGTATACTGTAGGTTTCACATTATATAACTTGTTTTTTTTTCAACACAAAAAATTGAATTATAAAAAGCTAAACATCTGCAGCATTGTACGTACAATTTACTTATATAAATTCCACACTTTGCTAGCTATTATCATAATCTTGCTCTAATTTTTATTTTGAAACTAATTCCATAAAGGATATTATTTTACTGAACGGCAACGAGTTTTAATATCATCGAGAAAATGATTTGTAATTATATATATTTTTTATAATAAGGAGCAGACTCTCTGTGGGATAGTCTTCGTGAGCTCATTAAATTAAATATTCTTGTGACTAGCTAATATGGTTATCGCATAAGATAAACAGGAGAATGACTCTTAACACGGTAGAATTTATCTCCCCGTGACTTGTTTCACTCGTTACTCCAAACATCATCTTGAACTAACTAAACCGTCCGACTCTACCGTCCTTTGCATAACCATTTTTTTAATTTACACTATCATTTGCAACATAGCAAAGTTATAAACTATATTGAGATTTGTGGCAAAAATAAATAAAAAAAAAAAAAAGAATTTTCCATAAAATTCAATGAAAAATAAAATATTTATTAATCGATGAAAATCGGTTTTTTATATTTTCGATTGTCATGTTTTATTTTCTTTGTCAAACTACAATTACAAACTAAATACAAATGAAAATCTATTCCTCTAATTAATTCGAAGAATTGAAAGACGCAAGTATATTGCGAAAAAATATGATATCGCGTCAACGTGACGTTTGATCGATTAAAAATAAGAAATCTTCTAAGAAATTCGCTTATAAGTAAGAAATATATATATATATATATATATATATATATATAGAGAGAGAGAGAGAGAGAGAGAGAGAGAGAGAGAGAGAAAGAGAGAAAGAGAGAGAGAGAGAGAGAGAGAGAGAGAGAGAGAGAAAGAGAGAGAAATTGTTTACGTCTTTCGATCATTGCCCGATTGTAAGTCACGCTGCGTAATAACTTCTATCATAAAGGCATTATTTCTCTCTTTCTCTCTTTCTCTCTCTCTCTCTCTCTCTCTCTCTCTCTCTCTTTCTTTTCCTCTTCCCTTTCTCTTTTTTTTCATTTATTCAACTCCAATTTAATCAACTGTTGAAAGCAATTTTAACAAAAAGATCAGCTGTCGTCGAATAATTAACGATGATTATTATATTATCTGACACCGATGTACTCTTATCGCAAAAAGATATCGAATATATAAACGCAATAAAGATGTAACGAATGAGATTTCTTTTTTATGAAAATCAAGGACATATGCATATATATAAATCAAATATGATGATAATTGAAACGACAATTTTAAACGAAACTGAGAATAAGCCGCTATTCTTCATTGAATTTATCGTATCTTTCGAAACGATATCCTACGCGATTTGTGAAATTACTATGTATATGTTTACGTGTTCTTTCTCTCTCTCTCTCTCTCTCTCTCTATCTCTCTAATATTACGCAACATATCACTATTTCGTAGATTACATCAAGCACGTATTTACCGATGTCTATCTTAGTGACTATTTTGGGAAAAACAATTCAAAAAGACAAGAAAATTGACACTTTCAAAAGAGATAGATTTTGTGTATTTTTGTGTAATATATACATATAATATATAAACATATATAATATATATAATACAATATATATGTATATATATATGTTTTCTTTTATTTCTTCATCAGAATGTTTCTAACCCACCATAAAGATTTTACATACGTATTATCCACTGTTGACACGGAAGAGAGACTGCATGTTCTAACACACGCATATCTATACGTATGCATACATGCAAACATCTTCACGTATCGATTTGCAAACGTATAGAGTTCTTGTAGCGAATGACGTAGTTACTAAAAAATATATATGTCAGAGAATATATAAAGGGTAAGGGATAGAGGAGAGATATATACATACATACATACATACATACATACATACATACTCACTCACTCACTCATTCACTTACACGCACACACACACACACACACATAAAGAGAGTTGATGGCATCTTCTATCATGATAAAAATAATTAATTTACCCATTTCAGATTTAAAATGATCTTACCAATATTTCAACGTTAATGCATACACACACATGTATCTCAGTATAATCTTTCAAATATTTAAATAAAGGCGAAAAAATCTTTCTGGTACATAATTCTACATTAAACATAACAATTTTATCACGATTCTCTGTGAAACGAGCTCGGTAAAATTTGATTTTTAAGATCCCTAAGGTAGCAACACTTTTTACTCTCGCAACTTCTCATGAAAGTGTCGGGTCATCGACTTCGCTTTTCACGTTTTTCAACGTTTCTAGTTCTCTACTTTGACGATGAAAAAACGTTTCCCGTAGATTTTATGAAGATCGTACGATGATATTCGTCAAAGAAGAAAGAATCTAAAGATTCTAAGAGCTCGAAACTGTTAGAAGAGAGATACAAAAGAGAGGGAGAGGAAGAGAGAGAGAGACAGACAAATAAAGAATGTATGTGTGTGTGTTTCGAATTAAAAAGAAACGATTATATACGAATAGGGGAAAAACGTAAAGAAAAAATGCAAAAATAAAAAAAAAATATTCGGTCTTCTTCCGGTCTTTGTTCTTTCTCGCGAAGATGGATAAAAATATGGTTCCGCGGTACGGGAAACAGAAATTGGTCTGATAAATGGTTAAAAGGATAATAAGATAACTCTTATTTAGTGGCATGTACTACCGGTCGTCCGAATGAGTCAGTTAATTTGTGTCTAATGTACTTACTCTCGGCGTCTTTCTATTTCGCACATCGAGTTCAATCATTTTCGATCGAATTATATTTTAATTAAAATATCAAAATGAATATTAATATAAATAAAATAAATACAAGATAATAGAATTCGAAATAAACAATTTTCTCCAAAACAAAAATGTATTCGTTCTTTAATTCGAATTTACTGCACTTTTCGTTTTCCAAAAATAAGGTTATTTATAAACGGCGATGTGAAAGGAATTGAAAAGGCGCTAATTCCTTTTTATTTACTTTTTCTTTTTCTTCTTCCCTTTTCTTTTTTTTTTTTACCTCGACGTTGAAAATTTCACGTCCCGTTGCTCCTTCCTGCGAAGAAAGGAGAAAACTGGTAGAAAGTAAACGCTTCGCTTATTCGCAATAACTTTGATTCTCGATAGTAAGAAAAGATATTTTTTTATTATTTTGTTTTCCTTTTTCTCTATTTTTATATGATGCTCAATTTTCTTAGTTTTCCCAGTAATAATAACTCTTTTAATAACTCTTGAATCATCACGATAATTATCACTAAGATTAATCTCTAAGATAATGTTTTATTAGTTGCAGACAAATGATATCAACATGTATTTAATATGAAAAGAATGTTGTTTTATGAATAATGATAAAAATATAATAATATGATAAAAAAACGGTGATAAAAAAATTTTCTCTTTTTTTTTTTCAATTATTTTTCCCTAATTTTTCTTATAAGCTTAGAATCAATAATCTATTATTTCATATGATTTTGCCTTCCCATCAACCTTGGCTTTGCTCGCTTATCAAATTCATTGTATGCATCCACATAGTTAGATATAATTTGTTTACAAAGTCATATATAAATACGACAGGTGGTTAAATCTCTTTTAAAGATCGACGTTGTTC